AACTGACCATATGAACGATGAAGATACCATGAGAGAGACAGAAACTTGCAAATGTCGTCTCTAGAGACACGTGTGATCTTGTCTTGCGATTTGGTAGTAGGATAGGGTTTGTCCCCTTTAATCCTTTATAGACTGAAGAGACGAAGGAACCCTGAGTAAGGAAATGGCGGAGTCCACTGGTCTCTCTGTTTTTTTTTTAAAAATTATTTATAATCCAAACCGATAATTAATCAATTCTCTGTTTGGTTTACTCTAACCCGACCAAACCATAAATTCTCTGTTTGGTCAATGTCAACCTCAACATTACGATTTATGATAAATTTATCTCTCTTTTTTATGGTAAACCAAGTTCTTCAGTATCCATACAGACATATCCGATAGATAGTCGGTTTGTTAAAATATTGTTCGATTTGTAATGAGAGCGAGATATTATTTGGGAAATAGAAAAAAAAATGCGAACTTGTGGATTTTACTATAGACACTTTTATCTAATGAACACCAAATTATGATATTGTCTTACAAAAATATCTATGCTCTTTACTAGATTCGGATGTGATCCAGTTGCGTGTATGCTCGAAGGTTGTCCTAACTGAAGTAATGTATGAATTTCTGATAGAGATTATGTAATTTGGACTAAAAAAATAGAAGAGAGCAAAGTAGAGGCAGTGGTGAAGGGTAGATGAACGTATAATAGAGATTTAATCTCCTATTTTTGTATATTATATTATGAATTGAACAAGATTAAAATAAAAATTACAAGGATTGAAAGAAAGGAAAATAATCAAAATCCTAATAATTACAAACGGTGATTAATTTCATCTTCTACTCCAAAGTTATCTTCCATTATTGCTAACCAGATTCTTTAGTTTAATCCTCATTCTCATATTCTTTCTTCTCAATTTTAACACTAACTTAGACCGTTGTTGTGGTTGCGGATGCGGATGGTAATGTTTTCAAAATGGTTGATAGCAATTGTAGGTTATGGGCACTGACTTGTTGGTAAGTGGTTAGTGGTGGCAATTGCAGTAGGCTCTGATTAGAATCGAATGGTTGTAAACGTTTGAGGTTGAGGTAGTCTTATGATATAAATTACTAAAATGGTATGATTTTAAAATATTTTTTTTAATTAATTGTTAATTTTTATATTATCATTTGATTAAAAATATTTTATATAATCTATAAATAAAAAAATAAATTTCATCAATTTTATTTATATTTAATTAAAAAATTATTTTATCATAAAAATATTAAAAATAATTATTGATAAATCTAAAAAGTAAATAATCATATCATGCTATTATATTTTAAAATCATATTGACCTTCTTATGGGATTCACCACTTCTTGATACCATGTTTGTGTTTTGTTATCTTTCTCAAATCCGAAACCTAACACAAGAAAAATTATTTGGTATCTTTCTCAAATCCGAAACCTAACACACATAAAAAATCTGAAACACGACACAACAAAATTTACACAATAGAAAAAACAACAATTCCAGAGTTTACACAATGAACATTACTGTACGGAAACATGTAATATTCAGGAAACAAGTTTCACGTTTTTTGTTCTTGTTCAACAAATTGCAAGCTCAGCGATGACGACAAAGTCATGGAACTGCACAATGTGAAGCCCAAAATATGGCAAAAATAGACTTTGTAAACTCGTATGGCTACTTGATTAAGAAATTCTCCGTGGGAGAAACATTCTGAAGCAACCCACCTCGTGTTTCAACAATAAACCCAAGTCATCATTTCCATGGGGTTGCTTCTGAAACCAATTGGTATTCAAGCGTCTGTAACCAAAATCTGAAGCCATTTGAACAAATGACCAGAAACCAGTACAAGCACATGCAGAGTGTTGATCCGAAGATTCAAACAGAGACATACTTTGGAAGGAAACACAAACAATTCTAGGCAAAGCTGACATAGATCCAATCAAAACTAGACAAAACACAAACCCAAAGATTCAAACAAAATCCGAACAAATCACAAGGAGAAAGACGATATGATAAAAAGAGACGTACCCCTGGAGGCGACGGAGATGATGAACTCCGGCGAGTTCCGACGAGCTTCGACGATCTGAGAGAAAATCCTGATCGACAGAGAGAGTTAGGGCTTGGGTCAGGGATGACGATCGGGGCATCACACGATAGAAGAGTCAGGGTTTTGTTTTTAATTTTTAAGAACGATATTTTTGTAAATTTACTTAAAACGCATGGAAACTCCACCGAACCGTATCTAAAAAGATTTTTAAAATCTCTGCGGTTTAACAGGTCCTTTTTTCAACTACCACCATTCACCAAAAAACCTAACCGCTCCGTTTACGGTATCATCCGTATAATTAATCACCCCTTAACCATCTCTCTTTTTGATATTTCTAATTAGGAGTGTTTCAAATTTTAGATATTTTTTCTTCATTATGGATGTATATAATAGAAGCTTGATAACATTAAGTACTTTATATATTCTAATGTGGATCAATCTGTGAAGACGGGTAGATACGAATATGTCAAGGGATGGATATTCGGTTCGGTTATTTTGGTTATTAACCGAACCGACCAATATATATTCGAATCGAACCGATTAAAATTAAATAACCGTTTGGTTATGATTTTTTAAAATTGGAAATAACAATGTTCCAAAATAATCGTAAACCGAATAAAATAAATCCGAATTAACTGTACTGAATAAACCGAATACAACTGTTCGAACACCTATGATATTTGTGTGTGAGAATGCAAACTGGGTTGGGTTTAGTGGGTTTATCCAACCCAACCCACTAATAACTTTAATTGGGCTGATTATTTTGGTTATTTTTATTTTGTGGGTTTAATGGGTTTCAACCCAATAAACCCATGGGTTCAATAAAATAGCCCAATTACCCAATTAACCCATTAAAGGATTATCATTTAAATTATTTTTTTGAAATTCCTAAATCTACCGACCCTAGTTCTCGAGAGTTTCTGAAATCGTGCCTCTTGCTGGGTTCTTTCTTCTTCTTCCAACCGACAAAGTGATTCAATTTCTTGTTTGAATCATTAGCTAGATTTTTGTCGACCTGCATCTTAGCTTCATTTTCGGAAACAGAAATTCACCATAGGATATGAGGTGAGACGGAAGAGAAGAAGGAAAGAGTGAAGACATATATCTCCTTTGATTTGCGAATCCTTGATTGTGTTGTTCGTCTTCATCGCTTCAAATCAGATATGCTGATTCTCTTTGGTATAAAGTTTGAATCTATTATCAGAGAATCTTATGGAGAAGATTAGGGTTTCTGGGTTTTAAATGATTTCAAATTCGATGGGTTTAGATGAACCAAATTATGAACATTAGAGTATGAGTCATGTTGTTCTGTGAATGAGAAATGAATCTCCTTTGATGGGATTGATACTTCCAATGGATATGGTTCGTTAGAAGGTTTTGAGTATGAGAACGACAGTGAATGATATTGATCCATCATTCATGTAAGTGGTTGAAGAAACTGGGAGTGTCGCTTGTGAGTTTGAGGGTTTGGTCTTCTGTCAAATTCAAACATGATTATCCAGATTAAATCAAGTTCTTGATTTCTAGATTTGGGTTTGATCAGTCACTTATTATTAGAAAATATATAATCATCAATCATTTTCTCTGTGAAATTATTCTGTAATACTGCAAATTTCATGTTTTTCTCTGGTCCTTTGCTTCAACAATTTTTATTCTCAATTCCTCTTTAATATTTTTTAAAAATGTTAAACTTCAAATTGTCTACGTTCTGTTTATGTTTATGTTTGGATAATATTAACTAAATGCATTCATGTGGCTTTGAATTTCATCAGAAATCTACAATTGGTTTCTCTTTATTTTATTCTTTTTCTTCAGCATAATACCAAGAGATTTTTTCTAACAAAGTTTCTTATAATGATCAGCTTTTAAAATGTAATTGGTCTATTTGGTTTTCTTATTGTTGCCTTGGTTCTTGTTGTTGTTGGTTGTTTCTAACTTTTTCTAATATATCTGATCATTTTGTTGTTGATTTGATGCAGCGATATGTCTGGTTTAAGATCATTGGATACTTTTGCATCGGGGGGAGAAAGTGCAAATGAGGGGTCATCATTACAAATTCAACCCTCAGAAACACAAGATCAAGTAAGTACTAGAAAACGCCAACGTACTTCGCGTGTATGGGATCACTTTTCAAAAGTCGGGAATATGATTGTTTGCAAATACTGTAGAAAGGATTATCCGGATAATGCTGAAAGAAATGAGATGTCAACTCTCCGTCGGCATTTGGTTATATGAAAGGGAATGCCTAGTAAATTTATTGAAATGTCAGAGATGCTTACTCAAGACGGAATGATAATAGCAAACAAAATTGATGGTATGATGGTTCGTAAGTTTTTAGCTATGGCGATCATAGAGCACGATCTCCCTTTTTCCTTTGTGGAGTATAAGAGAGTTAGGCAACTGCTTAAGTACATGAATCCGGATTTTAATCCAATTTCTAGGAATACTATTGTTGCTGATATCTTGAGATTTCATCAAGGTCAAAAAGAGAAGCTAAAAAGGGAGATAGCTTCTGTTTCTAATAGGATTTGTTTGACGGCTGATGTTTGGAGATCTATAGCTATCGAAGGATATATATGTATCACTGGACATTATGTCGATGATAGCTGGAAACTAAACAGTAAGATACTATCCTTTAGTGCCATGCCCCCTCCACATTCTGGGAATGAGTTGGCAAAGAAGGTTCTCGATTGTTTGAAAGATTGGGGGATAGAAAAAAAAATATGTTCTCTCACGCTTGATAACGCATCAGCTAACGATACCATGCAAAGTATATTGAAGGATCAACTTTGTCTACAACATGGATTGTTATGCGATGGAAAGTTTTTCCATGTTCGGTGTTGTGCACATATTTTAAATCTTATTGTGCAAGAAGGGCTAAAAGTGGTTGATTCTGCTCTATATAAAAATTAGAGAAAGCGTGACGTATGTAAAGTGGACAGAGGGAAGGATGAAAATGTTGGAATGTTGCGAGCAAGTTGGCGTTGAAACTGGGACGGGTTTGCATTTGGATATCCCCACTAGATGGAATTCTACTTATACGATGCTTAAAGTTGCTATCAAGTATGAGCGTGCTTTTAGTAGTTTGCATTTACTTGATCGAAGCTACAAGTATAATCCATCAAGTCAAGAGTGGCAACGAGGAGAAAAGATTTGTGATTTTTTGGAGCCATTCTACGAGATCACTAATTTATTTTCTGGGTCTAAATATCCTACCTCCAATTTGTATTTCTTCCAAGTATGGAGAATAGAGTGTTTGCTAAAAGACTATATGACAAATGGAGAAGATAAAATGATTGAATCTATGGCCAACAACATGAAGGAGAAATTTGACAAGTATTGGGAGGAGTATAGTATAACACTTGCATTAGCAGCTGTTTTAGATCCTAGAATGAAGTTGGAATTATTGGAATTTGCCTACAATGAGGTTGATCCAACTACTTCCAAGGAAAAGATAGGTATTGTGAAAAAAAAACTTGGTGTTGCTCTTTGATCAATATAAAAACAAATCATTAACTCCAAGTTCTTCACGAGGAGCTATAAGTCCAATTCCAAGTTGGTGTCTTGCAAAAGGGAGAGGAAGAACCTTGGGTGCTCTAAATGTAAGTTTATTTTTCTTGTTTAGTTGTAATTTGCCTTTATAAGTTTGTATAATTTATCAAACTATGGTGTGATATAGGCTTTCAAAGTATATGAGAGAAGAACTGCTGCACAAGAGGAACGATCTGCTTTGGAAATATATTTGGACGACAAAAGGCTAGAAATGAATGAGTTTGATGACATTGACGTGCTACAATTTTGGGACAGCGGTATGGTAACTTAGCTCAGATGGCGTGCGATATACTTAGTATTCCCATCACAACAATGGCATCTGAATCATCTTTTAGCATTGGCTCTCGTTTGTTGAACAAATATAGAATCGTCTTTGTTCGTCTAACGTCGAAGCGCTTATTTGCACGCGAAATTGGTTGATTGGCTATGAGACCGGTGTGAATGGTAAGACATACATTTTATTATACTTTTTTTTTCAACCTAATCATAGGCATATTTTCTGATTTTATGCATATGATAGGTGAAAAATGCGATGGTGAAGATAATGATCATATTGAAGTGGTTGTTGATGATGACAGTGGTGGAAACACCGAGAAAGATGTTGAGAATGATGATGATTTACAAACGATTTTAGATAGTTTTAGATTGGATTAAGAAACAATTATTTGTATTTGATTTAAATCAATTAATGGATATTTTTAGCTTTGTCGATTAGGTTTGGGTATGTTCTTTTGATTGAATTTAATATTAATGAATATTTTTTAGTTAATCTGGTATTTCTAGATATAAAACATTCTGTTAGATCGTCTAACTTAGTCAAAGTTTTTAAAATTTGATATTATTTGTATTTTGAAAACATTAAGTAAGAATAGAATTAATATTGAATAACTATATATTTTGTCTTGTATACATATATATACATATACATATACGTATATATGTATGTATTTTATATATGTACGTATAAATGTATGATTTTTACATTTTTTATTTATATATTTATTTATTTATTATTTTGTAATTCAAAAAAATAAAAAATATTCAATGATGATTATTCTTAATGATGATTTTATTAATGTGAAAATAAAATGGGTTTTATGGGTTATAATGGGTTTCATGGGTTGACCCAGCCCATTGTATTTTTGTTATTGACGTTACTATGTGAGATAACAGAAAACCGTTTGTTTTCATGAAGAGAAATTTTAAAAAAAATGCGGGTGATATAGTTCAGTCACTATATATGTTATATGTTTATAGACCGTCATTTTCATTGTATAAGATATCCCGGAAAAAAAATAGTACTCATGTTCTTTCTTTTTAAAATTTAAATATTTTTTTTTTAAAAAAGGAATCTGTTTTTAATTTTCAAATAGTAGAGATATTTACATCATCGCATGTCATCTTGCATCCTCATCTTGGTAAGGACCGTTCATAATACTATACTGTGCTGTTTTTGTCGCCATTATATTGAGTTTTTTTTTTTAAAAAAAAAAGCAAGTTGGAAATCAACAATGTAAATAAATCGAAGGCAAAATAAACGATGTGAAAAATCATACAAAAATAATAGATACCATATAAATAAGCATGAAAACGACGAAAAAATAATGGGACCAATTCGCCCGTGACTTATGCTAAAGGACCCAAAACCCTAATTCGACCGTCGTCTATTATAACGACACATGCATAGCCTCATTACGTTTATAAAATTTAATTAACATTAACTAGTTTAGTCCTCATTTAATTCTCACAAAAATCGTTTGGTAGTTTTTCACATCGCAATTTAATCGTATCTGTCCCCATTAATTAAAACAAACCATGATAATAATTGACTCTGCTCCTAATCTAATCCGATTACCCTCTAATAATTGATTTTTAAATAGTTTAAATGTTTAATTAATGATGAAGGGCCAACAAACAATATATTTATTATAATAAAAAAACTTAATGTGCTGATTTTTTATAAAATATAAATTATATTAACCAAAAAGTTGTAATTTAGATAGGGAAATAGCTACAATACCCTTTGATTGCTATTTGGACTTCTCATACTACCCTCCAATCAAAAAATCAAACAAAAAATACTATTTACTATGGCAAAAGATAATAAAATCCTCATATATTAATGAAAAGACAAAAAACCCTCTATTTTTTTCAATTAAAAAATTCAAAATTAAAAAAAAATAAAATTACAACTTTATTTTGATTTCCCTCTCTCTCCTAACTTTATTCTTCTTCCACTTTCTCTCTCTTCATAAATCTTTTTCTTCTCTCTCTCTTAACTCTCACGATTTTAGCTCTCTCACTCTCTTTCAAAACTTCTAATCTTTTGTGTTTTGTGCAATCTTTTACGTTTTGTTCTATTTTCTGTTTAAATCTCCGGTTAGATTCAAGATCCGAAGAAGAAATAAAAACCGTATGGAAATTGCAAGGTTAGACAAAAACATGGTAGGTTAAATTTTAATTTCTTTTAGATTTGTTGGATTTTGAAATTTGTTGTTGTTGAGTTAAAGTGTGGTTTCGAAATTTGACCGATAGAAATTTAGGGTTTTGGGTTTTTCAAATTTCATTTAGCCACAAAAAATTGAGGAGATAGAAGAAGCAATGACGACATCGAAGAAATGACAAGTTCATGTTAATCTTCGTCACATTTTTCGAGCAAAAGTAGTAACCTTATGGAGATTGCGGAGTTAGATGAACACAAGGTAGGTTAAAATTCAATTTATTTGCAAATTTGTTTGATTTTGAGATGTGTTCTTGTTGGGTTGAAGTGTGGGTTGGAGATTTGAATGATAAAGCATTAGGGTTTTGGGTTTTTTAAAAAAAAATTTGGGGATTTCAAAATAGAATGTTGGTTTGTGAGGTTATGGATCAAATCGAGTGAAATGGTTGAGTTTCGGTCAAATAAGACAGTCATATAGGTCACATCACGGTATGAGTCGTTGTTTGGATGTATAGATGACATGAGGATTCAAATGCTATGGTCTCACGGTCACAGTCACAAAGGTCATAATGTCACAGGATCATATAGGTACGTCTATATCACAATATACAATAGTCACGGGTCACATGGTCATATGGTCACAAGGTCACATGGTCATATGGTCACAAGGTCACATGATCACATGATCACATAGTCACATGGTCACAAGGTCACATGGTCACAATATCACACGGTCACAGTTACAAATGTCACATGATCACAGAATCATATAGGTACGTCTATATCACAATATATAATAGTCACGAGTCACATGGTCACATGGTTACATGATCACATAGTCACATGGTCACATGGTCACAAGGTCACAAGGTCACATGGTCACAAGGTCACACGATTCCGATTGACTATATTGCATATAGAAAGGGGTGAATAAACACTTCTTTTTTATTTGGAAGGGTATGAGGGGAGTACAGATGGAATGGTTCAGTTTTGGATACGACATCTGAAAACGAACCTGGTCACATGGTCACATAGTTACACGGTCTCATAGTCACATAGTTTTATAGTCATACAGTCACATGGTCACAGTGTCACACGATGATATCTAGAAAATATTATTGACATATATTATTTTATTTTGTAGCACATGGAAGAGACGATGTATGAACTCCACACCTGCATTATAAAACATCACGTGATCTACATAGGATGCAACTATTTGACTTGCGATACTATGTTCATAGAGCTGATCAACGCATGAGTAGAATCGGAAGACATGACAACAAATATTTCAGAAGACGAAAGTGTAAATTTTTAATTTATTTCACTAAATTTACTTTGTTTATTTTGTTTTTGAACCCTAACTATGATATGTTTTTCTTTATTTGGTAGTAGACTAAATTATGAACTCTTGTATTTAGTTTTTTGTTTATTCGAAATCTGAATTTATTTATGTTTTATGTAGAATATGGGTTCAAATTATTGTATGAAAAATTTAAAACTTAAATTGATGGAGAAAAAAAATATAAGGTTAAAATAAAATTACGTTTTTTTCAATTGTGAAATGAGTTAAATTGTCAAAGTAGTCCCCACAAGAAATCTAGGTTGAATTGTCAAAGTGGTCCACACAATGGAATAAGAGAAAAATTATGGGTTGAAAATATTGTATGTGAAAATTTGAGGTTAAAAATTGGGAGAGAAAAAATATAGGGTTAAGAGAGAAATTATATAGGGTTGGATATTCAAAATATGCACCATATTAAAATTAAAAAATGGAAATAATGATTGTGGACCCTACGAAACATAAAAATCTGGAGAAATCTGACTAGTTCTTTCTGTGGGTCCCACATCACATTTCGGTCACAATGGATCACAGTCAGTCACAACCGGTCACAACCTTCGATTCATGCGATTTTTGTCAATTTAATTACTCTACAACGTCACACATATCTCATAAGCCTATTCTCTATTGTTTCGAACATTAGAGTATGGTTTTTGCGATTTTTATGTTTCAAAATTGTTCTTCCAAATGTGTTTCTATATATTTCATAGTGTTTTATGAGTGTTTTTGACAAATTTGGAATATTTTTTCTACAAACCTCTTAAAATATTTTGAAAATTTCTCACATACACTATATATTTGATATATAGACCCTGATAAACCACTCTAAAGCTTAAAAATTAAATTTGGATCTATATTTATCAACACATTTCGGTCACGGGTCACAGTCGGTCACAACGGTCACACAGTGTAAAATTGCACTTCGGTCATGTGACACCCGAAACCCGTATCCCGCAATACAAGTTGCGCCACATGGACAAGTAAAATAAAAATCGCATTTCCAAAAAAAATCCGCGGGAATTTAAACTTTTATTTTTAGAGTTCAGCGGAAGAAACTTTCTTACATACATATACGGTACATTATTCCAGTTATAATTGTACATACACAGTGGTAGTATCACATTATTACAAACCATAAAAGTCTACCACCGATATAACACAAACCGTTCCCCGAAAACGTAATTGTACCGTAGAGAATAATTATACATGATCACACGGCAGGTCACACCAGTCTTCGATGTCCGCTCCTCGGCTACTGTTGCTCACGACCTGAAACGTTGCGTAACAACGTCCTAAGCTAATTGCTTAGAGAGTGAACTCGGGCGTAACCCGGAGTTCCATTCTCATGGTGCCAGGGAAAACACAAGCATATATATATATGTGTGTATATACTAGTATTCTAATAAACAGTAATTGAAAACATGAATCACTGTAAGCACGCAGCAATCACAATCAAGTCCGTACGACAAGTCGGCCGTACGACAAGTCGCAGGACAGAGTCCGTCAAATCGTCTCTACGCGCACCATGCGTAGGTATGTACTCCCCATGTGCGTAGCACAACCACCTCTCTCCTCGGATTCCATCTACTCCGCACACACTCGGAATCCGGCATAAGTATCTTTTTATTTTCTCCGCCCGAACACAACACCCCACCCTAGCATCGATGGCACCTCTCGATGCTAGGCGTGTCCCCACTCCGGCATTGATGTCACCTCTCAATACCGGAGCTCACCTGACGTCGGCTACAACCGACGCCGTCGACTATAACG